CCAGCGCGGACAGCACTTCTGGATCCAATTCGTTCCTCGTCGCTGCGGTCCCCCTCTTTTCCCCCTCCTCCGCCATCCCCTGTCCTCCTCCTCCTCCTCCTTCTCTTCCTCTTCTTGCTCCTGTTATTGCTCCTCCTCCTCCTCCTTCCACTCCTACCATTTCCTCCTGCTCCTCTTCCTGCTCATCCGACACCTTCTCCTCAATCTCGTCCAACATACAAAGCCTCCCTTTCTGATTGCGAATCACACGATGGGATCATTTGGGGAATCAGGGTCATCTAGGACATTCCAGCCGGCAGATGACAAATAATTGTTCAGCGCAGTGGGAAGAGATGAGTAGGAGGGGTAAGATATCCGATATGGCGCGGCCGCACCTAGCTTGCCCCCCCATCTCTTCCCCCTGCTGCTCCTCCTGCTTTTTCCTCCCGCCTCCTCCTCCTCCTCCTCCTCCTCTCCTCCTCCCTCTTCGTCCATCCTCCCTCCCTCTCCTCCTCCTCCTCCTCCTCCTCTCTCCTGTGCTCCTTCTCCTCCTCCTCCTTCTCCTCCTCCTCCGCCGCCTCCTCCTTCTCCTTCTCCTCCTCCTCCTCCTCCTCCTCCTCCTCCTCCTCCTCCTCCTCCTCCTCCTCCCTCCCTCCTCCCGCCCTGCTCCTCCCGCCACTCCCGCGCCACCGCCCGCTCATCGCGCGGGCGTCGGCCGCGGCTGCCCGCGCGGAGGGCGAGGGCGCGGGGGGGCGCAGCGGGGGCCCCGGGCCGGCCCCGCCCCGACTTCTGGGGCCGCGCGGGGCGAGAAGGGCACACGTCGCCACGTCGAAGGGCCCAGGGGGAGACAAGTCCTGGACACGCTTGGCTGTTCAGAGCCCGCCCGCAGCCCCCCGGACTGCCAAGGCACGGCTCGGGATGAACAGCTGGCCCCGTGGGAGTGGTCTCGGGGGACCAACAATAGCATGACATACGAACTTTCGGAGGTCCGCGCGGGTTTCTTGGATCGGCGCTGGAACCCCCTCCCTGGCGCGCGGATCGCGCCAAGGGCAGCGCCAGAGGCGCCGCCAGGGGGTCCAACGCCGATCCAAGATATCCGCGCGGACCTCCGAAAGTTTATGTTCTCCGTCGGCTGCATGCCAAATCAGCGGTGCATGCATGCCGCTGCCCAGGGCGCGAGGAGACGCAGGGGCGGGATAGAGAGAGAGAGAGAGAGAGCCCCAATCCCGCGAGGGGGGGAACTCCGACAGGGTCGGGCTGAAGCTCGGGGCTGGCTCACAGAGAAGCGGTTGCGAGGAGGATGCGGTGAGGGCATTGGAGAAGGAACCCTCCAGGGTCGGACAGCTGAAACGACGCCAATAAAGGCTTGACCGTTGGTATCACCGCCGCCCTCATCAGATAAGGAGTCTCCGAGGATCAGAAACCTCCTGAGCACATTCCTTCACCAACACCCCACCGTGGTGGGGCGACGGGGGAAGGAGAGCCGGGTCGGACGAGATGGGAGGGACGTTGGCGACGAAGATGGGGGATGGGGCGAAGGAGGGATGGGGGATGCGGGAGCCGAGTCGGACGAACGAAAGCGGGGGGGGGGCCGACGAGGAAGGGGTGGGGGCTGAAGGGGGAGGGGGAGGACAGCTGGGGTGGGGAAGAACCGGGTCGGACGAAAGCGGGGGGGTTGTCGACGAGGAGGGGATGTGGCGGAATGGGGGAGAGGGAAGGAGAGCTGGGTCGGACAGACGGAGGGGGGGGGGGGGGGCGACGAGGAGGGGTATGGGGCGAAGGGGGGAGGGGGGGGGTGGTCGGGTCGGATAGCAAAAAGGGGATTGGCGAAACAGCCGCCTCCCAGCGCCAGAGGCGCCCGTGTATCCAAGACAGGGGCCCGGCGGCGGGGCTGATACTGGCTGCATGCAGCAGAGTTCGCAACACCCCCCCTTACCAGTCCTCCCCGTTTTGTCCCCCGACCCGAAAGAGGGAGGAGGACACCAGCAATCTCCAGCTCAGCGCGTGGGGGCTCGCGGGGCGGGCGGAATGCGCAGCCGGACGAAGCAGGAGAGCGAACGTGTGGTCAGACCAGGGCAGGGCGTGGTTCTTACGCGGCGACATCCGAACCCTACTCCGACCAACTATCGGTCCTCCTAAATCGGTGGGAGGCGGCATCTCGCCACGGGTCTGACGAATTCCAAGCCCTCCCCCCGCCGCTCATCGAGTCGCCCGAATCGTTGATCGGCGAGGGTAGGGGTCGGATTTCGCCGCCGAATTCTGGAGGGCGCGCCGTATGGAACACAAGGCGCAACTGGGGCAGAGAGTAGCACGCTGCGAGTGGCGGTGGCGCCGCCGTGTGGAGCCGGCTCATCTCGAGGTGCAATTCTTCACGGGGCAGGGCAAACGCTGTTTACGATACGACTCAGCGCCGGGGCGGACCGCTGAGGATGAACCCCTTGCTGGCGCACGGAGAAACGAAAAATTAGCCTGGCGAAGGACCCAACCATATGCAGTTGTGAGCACCGTGGTTGTATGCACCGCGTTCGGAGGAAGTGCCTGTCGGGCCACGAAACGTGTGAGGGGTGTGCCAATGTTTGTCTGGTGGGCGCATGCGAACGCAGCAATTGGGGCCGTTGGTGGAGATCGCTATGGGGCCACGAAGCGTGTGAGGGGTGTGCCGAATTGGGTGCGCGTGACGCATGCGGGCGGTGGCACTGGGGCCTTCTTTTGGAGCTCCCTATGGGGCCACGAAACGTGTGAGGGGTGTGCCGAAATGAGTGTGTGTGTGTGTGTGTGTGTGTGTGTGTGTGACGCGTGCGGGCGGTGGCACTGGGACCTTCGGTGGAGCTCCCTATGGAGCCACAAAGCGTGCGAGGGGTGTGCCGCGTGCCGCATTGGGTGTGCGTGACGCATGCGGGCGGTGGCACTGGGGCCTTCTTGTGGAGCTCCCTATGGGGCCACGAAACGTGTGAGGGGTGTGCCGAAATGAATGTGCGTAACGCATGCGGGCGGTGGCACTGGGGCCTTCGGTGGAGCTCCCGCTGGAGCCACGAAACGAGTGAGGGGTGTGCCGAAATGAGTGTGCGCGACGCATGCGGGCGGTGGCACCGGGCCCCCCCCCTGGAGCCCCCCATGGGGCCACGAAGCGTGTGAGGGGTCTGTCGAAAAAGGTGTGCGTGACGCATGCGGGCGGTGGCACTGGGACCCTCTGGTGGAGCTCTCTATGGGGCCACGAGAAACGTCAGAGGGGTGTGCCGAAATGGGTGTGTGTGACGCATGCCGGCGGTGGCGCTGTGGCCTTCGGTGGAGCTCCCTATGGGGCCACGACATGTGCGAGGGATGTGCCGCATTGGGTGTGCGTGACGCATGCGGGCGGTGACACTGGGGCATTCGGTGGAGCTCCCTGTGGGGACACGAAACGTGTAGGGGGTGTGCCGAAATGGGTGTGCGTGACCCACGCGGGCGGTGGCACTGGGGCCTTCTTGTGGAGCTCCCTATGGGGCCACGAAACGTGTGAGGGGTGTGCCGAAATGGGTGTGCGCGACGCATGCGGGCGGTGGCACTGGGGCCTTCGGTGGAGCTCCCCATTGGCCACGAAACGTTTGAGGAGCGCCGAATTTGGTGTGCGTGACGCATGCGGGCGGTGGCACTGGGGCCTTAGGTGGAGCTCCCTGTGGGGCCACGACACGTGTGAGGGGTGTGCTGAAATGAGCGTGCGTGACGCATGCGGGCGGTGGCGCTGGGGCCTTCAGAGGAGCTCCCTATGGGGCCACGAAAAGCTGTACTGGGTGGGTGAAACGCAGGGAGGAAGGAGGAGAGGTAGGAGGGAGGAGGGGGGGAGGAGGAGGAGGCGAACGCGGGGCGCCGTCTCTTCAAAAGGAGGAACCAACACCACAGGATGGTTGGGAAAAAAGGTGGGAAGAGAGAAGCGGCGCTAAACCTTGTTTGGGGGTGTGCGCCGTACGGAACCTATGGTGCACCCCCTCAACAATACTTTGGACGCCCGAAATGGGTACAGAAAAAACTAGTACAATGCCCAACAACAAATGTTGTCCCAAACCAACAGCGGCCGCTGTTGGGCAGGCGGCCTTCTGTCTCAAATGGACGCAGGCCGCGGCGGCGCGGACAGCGAGTCCTGTCCAAAATGAACAAGAACTGCTGTGGGGCATTGTACCCATTCTTTCCGTAACCATTTCGTTCGTGCCGGAATACTGGGCAATCCGCAATTCGGATGACCGCAGCGTGCACAATCCGCGGAGCACTCTGCAGCACAACCTGCGGCGCAACAACATATGGCGTAACATACGGCTGCCCAACTGTGACAACATCGTGGGCGCAACTCGTGATTCGGTGAGGCGATGCCGTGCAATGCCGTGCCGTGCCACGTCGTGCTGTGCCGCTTCGTGTCCTTGCACATGCTGCTTAGGATCTCTTCGTTGGGTGACCGTATGCGGCACAATGTCTGCGAACCAGCTCACGAAGTGAACGCCATGGGGCCGGCCGATCCCCCACGTCCATCCGAAGAGACCCCACGAGCAGGACCGCGCTCCCAAGACCGTGTCGGCGACCACGGCCTAACCCCGACGCCCATGCCACGGGACCTCACGAGCAGGACCATGCACCCGAGAAGCCTCGCCCCTGCACGGGCCTCACTTCGCGCGTGCGCGCCCCGCGTCCGCTTTACCGACTCGGACCGCGTCCGCGCCCGCTGGCCAGATCGTACCTCAGAACCTCGTCGGCGACGACGACCCCCCCCCCGCATCGATGTCACCATGACCCTATGAGCGGGACCGGGTACGCCCTGGGCCTTATCGGCCCCCGCGGGCGAACCCCCGCGCTCAGGTCAAATACCTTGAGGGCGAGCGCTGTTTTATGACAGAAGTTGCGGGAAGCATGTCGAGCTTGTCTCCTGTTGGCGCGGCTTCAGGCCCAGATTCGTCCCCTCACGGTGGGGGCAGTGGCTGCGGACCTTCTTCTCCTTCACTCCGTCCTCCTTCTGCCCTGAGTGGCGGATCGTACAGGGAGTGCCACAGCACTTTTTACGTCTGACCGAGTGACATTGCACCAGCGTCATGCCATCACTGGCAATATGATCACTGGCACGTGTCAGCGGGCCGACTGTTCCCACCATGTGCGGAGAATCCACACACAGATCTTTCAACGCTGACCTCGGCGCCAGTCAGCCTCCAGCGCATTGAGCAGCCAGGACTCTACCGCGCGCTCTACGTACGCGTCAAGGCAGGCCAGTTCATCGTGGGAGGGAGTACTGGTGAAAAAGAGACACTAAGAGACAGAGGGAGAGAGAGAGAGAGAGGGGGAGGGTGGGGAAGAACACGAACGAGCCAGCAAGATAGGGAGAGCAACCTTGGGGTGACAAGGGTGTTGGAAAGCACAGCTTAGTTTGCCTCACGACGAATTGGCAGCGCACATGAAGTATATCAACACTGCATCCAACCACCTAACACATCGACTGTGGCTCGTTCGAAACGCTTCCTGACACAATGGTACACACATATGTCTACACACACATATATATATATGTATGTATATACATGTATGCTCGCCTCCCCACGTGATCATACATGTTGATTTGTGCTCGAAGAATCCTACTTCTCCTCTTGTTCCGTCGCCACCGTCGCACTCCTCATAGATTCTGCTCGCATCCTCATTGCTCTCTTCCGCCCCCGTCCCTGTTCCTCGTATGCTGCATGTTTCTGCATCTCCTGCGACATATCCTTCTACAATCAACAATACAGCTTTCAATACGGCTCATACAGCAGCTCCTGCTACAATCCAGACCACACCCAGCAGTACGGCTTTCACTACAGTTCGCGCTGCAGCTCGTACCACACCTAGTGATACAGATACTGCGACTGCGTCTATTGCAGCTCTCCTACATCCCCCTCCGCACTTCGACGGCAATTCCTACCACAACCAGCCACGTAGCTCTCGGCAATTCCTTGTACAACAGCTTGCAATACACCTCACGGTACAACCAAGCTTGTAATGCGTATGACAAGCATATGTACAACTCCCACGGCTTTCACGAAAACAACTTTCGCAACTCATGATACACTTCCTGCTGCAACGTATGTTGCAATTCTACTGCGTCCTGGGTTACAGACCCCATTGTAAGTACCGCTGCAGCCAGCAACGCAGCTATCACCGCAAATCCTACATAAATACTGTTCGTCGATACTGTTGCGCGGCAGAGGATCTACGGTGCCCACTAAAACCTGCTCGAGAAATACTTCTTCAGGGAAAAACGCTGTGCGCGTCGAAGACAAGTACGAGGTCTCGGGGAACCTCGCGTCGTCTTCTCTTGGGAGCGCTGACGTGGGATCGTTGCTCGTTTCTCAATAGGCCCCCCTGCCTCTCGTTGCGCACCGCGACGGGGTCCAATTCCGTCGGTCACCGAGACCCCCGCCTCCCGCCTCGTCGGCACTCGCCCGCGCGCCTTGAGCCAGAACGGCCGCGGGTGTTGACGGCCAGTCGGCAGCGGGCTGGGCACAGCGGCAGAAATCTATGAACCGCTGCCCTGGGCGCGACCAGATTTACCGTTCGCGAGAAAGTCCGGCTCCATAGGATTTCCCCGAAGACGAAATCGAAAACTCTGGCCCTAGTTCCTCCCCCGCTTCCTCGCGGCTTCCGAAAAACGCGCTGACCGACCCAGCGCGATAATTCTGCGCAGCGAATTCGAAATGTCTTATCCCGTTTCGACGCGACGTCGCCTCCTTCAAGCCCGCTCCCGCGCCACAGGGCCGGACGCGGCCCCAATCCCCGCCGGCGGACGCGGAACCTGGTGCGGCCTCGCTGACTTGTGCCTGCTATCGTGTGCCCACCATTTCCCTTGTGATTTGCACTGGTAATAATGGGTTTGCTTTAACGGGCGCTGTCCAGGGAAACTTTAATGGCGCCCCATAAGGGGCGCGCCTCAGGGACCCATTAACAAGCACAACCCTAGAACGCGTTAACGGGCACACCTCTGGGAACCATTAGCGGGCACACCCTTGGAGGCCAGAAAATCACTGGTCACATGGACCGAAATTGGCGGGCACATGACCCAAAATGAACAGGCACATGGCCAGACAGAACTTGGCATACATGTTTGACTACTGCTGGTCACGACGACGATAACGGCGGTAGTCTTTTCATGGGTTACGCGGGACGAGCGCATTCATTTTTGTGTGCTCGCTGCCAACGCCGGCCTGTGCATGGCTGCGCCTACGACAGTTTCAATCAAGCTACGTCCTCCTTGCAAGCATTGTATCAGCACCCGTTGACGCGCATGGGGCGTCGTCGGCCATCAGCATCATGCGAGGACAGCGCGCTCCAAACGACGACGCGCTTCGAAAGCAAATGCCGCGCAACCAACCCTCCATCGCTGTGGAGAGCGCCCCCTGGAAACACGAAGACAAATTTAAACATTTTTTCGCATAACAAAACGGTCACGACCGCTTACGGGCCTGACGGTTTGGAAAAGCAATTTTCTGCTCCTCTTACCACAGCCCCGACCTCATTTCTACGACTGCCAACCGTGCCGCTCCTACTAACAACAAGACGAAGCTCCTTAGTGCAGCCAGCAGTACAGGTCCCACTCCAGCTCTTCCTACAGTTCCTCCAATAGCTCCTTTTGCACGCTGTGCTACAGGTCTTATCGCAAGTGCAGGAACCAGTACAGCTTCAATTTTCCCACAGCTCCCACAACAGTTAAGACTACACCTCTTAGCACATTTCCGAAGGCAATTCGTGTCGCAAGTACTTCTACATCAAAGAGTATGGCTCCCACTACAGATCCGACTACAGAGTTCCTACCAATCAACGGCGCAGCTTCCCTTACAACTCGTACTAGAGCCAAGTGTAAGTATCCCCTTCCAATTCCTATTGTATTATACGTGTTTGTGCTCCTAAGCAAGATCGTACATCTCTGGTCGCAGCCAGTGACACATCGTCCCCTCAGCTCCCACTACACGTATGATACCAGCTCGTGTGGCAACTCATGATACGAATCCTGCTACCGATGGTCGCGCAATTTTCAATACGGCTAATTGTTGAGTCCCTTCTACACACCCCATGTTCCAACCAGTATTACAGCTCTCGTAAATCTCATTTCAACTCATACCGCTGATTTTATGTGAATTCCAAGTGCACCGTTACGACGGAATCCGCGACAAATCTCACTGACATTCCTGCTGCAACAAAGTAAACAGCTCGCGCTACAGCTCCTACAACAACTCTTGCCACAGCTCCTCCCTCAGCTCCCAGTGCAGCTCCTACCACAGTTCCTGCTACAGGTCCCAGACGAGTTCCCACTTCATGCAATTTCACAACATTCACTACAGCTCCTGCTGCAGCCCCGGCTACAATTTATGTTACACGTCGTACCGCATACCCCAGTGTAGCTCTTGTTGCAATTCCCACAACCAGTGTTGATCTTACGCAAGCATCCATCATGTGTTCCCTGGGAACTCCGACTAAAGATGGGACTGGTACCACTCGTACATACTCTAGTAGTGGAAACAATTGGTTTTCAAAATGTTTCGTCTTTAGAAGCTCTGCGTGGCGACGCCCCCGTCGCCACGCGTGCCCTCTGCGTGCCTGCGGGGAGCGCCGCCACGTAGAAGTACTGGAGACCGAGCATTCGGGGCGTCGCTACGCACGCCCTCTGCGTGGCTGCGACCATTTGTTTAAACCCTAAAACCAATTACATTCACTAGTAACGTATCCTAATGCCGATCTCAACGTGTCCCCCCACTGCAACTCCACATGCAATTCCTAGTGCAGCCATTCGTACAACTTCCATTGAAGCTCCTACTTCAACATATATTGCATATAGGATTGCAGCTCGTGTTGCGTACAGCTTCTTGACACAGTCACTCGCATACTTCATGTTACAACTTTTATTGCAGCTGACACTACAGGTCCCGCTGCAGCTCTTGCTACTGCCTCCCACTGCAGCTCCTGCAGAAGGCCGTGAAACAGTGTTCAAAGCTGCTCCCTCCACAGCTCTCGCGACAACTTCGACTACAATCCATACAACACCCCCTGTTCGTAAAACAGATGTACTCTTCTTACAGCTCCAAGCTCAGCTCCCTGACGCAACCACCGTACACTTCACACTGCAATTCTTGCGGCATGCCCTACTACAGCTTAATGCCCACATCTCGCTACAAATTCGAATGCACTTCTTACCGCAACCTACACGGCACCCACACGTATATATGTCAGTGCTGTTTCTACGACGGCGCACGCCCAACTGCTAGTATACATCCCAACGCAACGGCTAATGTATCTCCCACTTATGCTCGTCATTATGTTTTTTGTGCAGCCGCTGGGGGAGCCGTCAATCCAGTTCCTCCTACAGTGTGTGTGTGTGCTGCGTATCATAAGACGCTTCCTACTGCAATTCCCTGACACAACCATCAGGAGAATTCCCGTTGCAGATCCTAGTATAATCGGTCGCACAGCCCTCCGCCTTCCACTATAGCTCTTGGAAGAAGTCGCGCCACGATTCCCAGTGCAGCCAACAAGCCACGTCAGAGCTCCTGCTGCAGGTCTTAGCGCTGTTCTGTGCGTGGGCCTCGCGTTTGTCTTAACCACCTGAGCCTTCACAATTGTGCGGGTCAGATGGTTGCTGGGTGGTGCAGAAGAAATAGTTATAGGCAGCCAGGGTGAGGAGGAAGAGGAGGCGGAGGAGGAGAAGGAGGAGGAGGAGGACCTCTTCCTGCTGTGCGCAAGAAACCATACGGGGCGCCGAAAACCGAAGGAGCGCCGAAAACCACAGGAGCGCCAAACACCCAATGAGCGCCGAAAACCAACGGGGTGCCGAAAAACAAAGGGGCGCCAAATGCCAAAGGGGCGCCGAAAACCAAAGATGCGCCCAAACCCAACGAGACGCCGAAAACCATAAGCACGCCGAGAACCAACGATGCGCCGAACACGAGAAAAGAAAACTTAGCCTGGCGAAGGACCCAACCATATGTAGTTGTGAATACCGCAATTATAAATATCGTATTCGGTGGAGCTCCCTATGGGGCCCCGAAACGCTGCACTGGGTGGGGGGGACGCATGCGAAGTTTGCCACTGGGGCTTCCGGTGGAGCTCCCTATGGGCGACGGAACGTTGTGCTGGGTGGGGGAGACGCATGCTGACTTTGCCATTGTGGGGCCTTCGGTGGAGCTCCCCGTGGGCCACGAAACGTTGTGCTGGGTGGGGGAGACGCATGCGGACTTTGCAACTAGAGCCTTCGGAGGAGCTCCCCATGGGCCACGAAACGCTGTGCT